TACAAAAATCGAAGAATTACGATAGTTTTAACTAAAATTCTAGAAGAATAAAGCTGGATGTATTTATTAAACCTTAGAAATAAATGGATGATGAACAAGTAAGTATAGAAACAGAATTGAAACGAAATCGTTTTTGGAAGAAAATCTGCCTTTTAGGCTGGGAATTGTTAAGTTCCTCAGCGATCTACATGGGATGATACTTGTTTATTACTTTGAAACAGCACAATTGAAGTGAATATCTTTCAAAAGTGACGTTTTTGCACCATCAGCAGTTGCAAGAACAGCTTGATACTGAATATATCTGCTTGAACTACCAACAATCGTTCCATTTGAAACTATATTAGCATAAGCCGTCCACGTGCCATCAGGGATAGCGGTATTTCCCGTTCGCTGTTTCACTTGAAGGCTTGTACCAGATGGTAACTCTGTTGCCCACGTAGCTCGACCCCATTTAACCAATGATCCTGCATCGTAAATGCGCGACTCAAATACGCCGGAGAATGCGTATGGTGTTACATGGATCCACTCAACCTTGAGCTTAATACCGTCTTTAGTAAAATCACTGATTGCCACACGCATTGAACTAGTAATTTTAGCGGTTGTTTCGGTATAAACTAGTGTATTATCAATATAGTATTTGAAACTACCGTCGAATATCCATTCAATACGGTATAGATGAGAGGTACCTAGATAACTACCCGGAATGATTACGTCGTTATTAAATACCTTGTTGAACGTTCTCGCTCTTATGCTGTTGCCCGTGTTACCTGTACTGAAAATTGCCCAAGGATTATCCAGATTAACATAAATTCCATTTGTTCCAGTGCTATCAGTGCCTGCACCATAACCAATGTGTTGGAATGTGGCCGCGTTGAAAGTAGCAACAAATTCTATAGTACTATTACGGCTGAAAGTCTTTGAAGAAGGCTCTGTGTTAAATCTTGCACCATCAACTATAAGCACACCATTTATTACGGTAGATGAACCACCAGTTGAGAATGGAAAACTGCTCCAATCATCTGTTGAAGGTAGTACAACAAATTCTGCACCTGCAGCGGGTTTGAGAATCACTTCGCCGTCTTCGAACAAAGAGATATACGTTCCAGTTCCAACTATTCCTTGACTAAAGTTAGAGTATGTCACATCCTCAAAGCAAGGTCGAAATGCTGAACATTGACATTTGGAATTTCCAGCGCCCGAATTGTGGAATGAGTTGATAGTTAGAAGTATGATTATACACTAAAAAGAAAAACAAACTTGACAAATCAAATTTTTATTTATATTACCAAAATCTAGCATCGCTCTTTATACGCGAGTAGTTGTTCTACTGAGAACCGTCTATTATTTATTAATTTATCTTCTATTTATCAAACTTAATGCGTAGTTAGTTCATAATGGCAAATTTAGAAAGAATAGTAAAAATGATTTGAGGATTGTTTACTGTAAGATGCCACCATCTGACCTCCTATGGTGTCTTAGCGTACTATCTCTATCAAACCGAGGTCTAAAATGTTGAAGATACATTAGAAAGGTTTAAAAGTGTCGGCTCTTCCAGAACTGATACTCACAAATTTTTCAGTTTCAATAAGAAAAACGTTGTTGACCAGTGTTAAACATAAGAGATACTTCCAAAATGTCAGGTATTTAAATAGTATTCACCAATTTATACTATGAGTATGGATTCTACGTCAACATAAATGCGATATTTGCATCCTCTATGAAAAAGGGAATAATACACCATGTATCTGGTACAATTTCTAAAACCATTTGCTGATCGAAAAATTAACTTTTTGTTTCACATTTTTATGAGTTTATTTGGATTCGAGCCGTAATATGATATTCCACGTGGGAAAAGCGCTCACATCTCGATTATGGAGAACTTAGTTTTCCCTTTTCTTGAGAGAGACCAACGACAATTTTTCGATCAGAAATCGAAATTTTAAAAACATATCAAATACACAAATGCTTCGGACATTTCCTCGACACGCTTTATATCGCAAAAAGTCAAGTCAATTGGGAAACGGAAACCTTGGTTAACTGTCCACGTTTTTTGGTCATGTAATGCCGTTTTCGATGCACTTACAGATTCCGTCTTAAAAGTGGAATTGACGTTTTGGCCGAAGCGAAACTATGTCAGACTGGCGTCTTTGATAGTTTATTTCCATATATCATATTAACAGTACATACT